AAAATGGTAGTAGATGTCGTTTCGCGTTTCTCGCACGCGAAATGCAACGCTCGCGACCGAAAGGAAACTTCTCCGTGAAAGTAGCGAGAAGAACTTGGCCCCGTGAAGAACGAGCGTGTACAGGGTGAATGCGCGTAAAAAGAGCGTAGCTAAATCTTTATGTACAGCTTTGGGATGGTGTACGTAGGTGTTACCAAGAGCAAAGATGCATCGAAGAGTACGCGAATGCACGGAGGGAAGAGAGGGAGAGGATCGTGCAAATCTGTCCTTAACAACGTCCAAAGCTTCCAAGAGCCGCGGGAATATTTAAACACCCTCTTAGACGCTCCACCCTGTATATAGGGCAAGAACTTACCAAGCACGCCGTAAGAGACGTAGAGGAACTCGATGGAGGTGCTGAAGTACGAGAGAACGAACGCGCTGCAACTTATCACGCTTCCGAGGATCGCGACCAGCCGGAAGCCGTACCTATTGGCCAACGCCGAGACGAATGGACCTGCGAGCACCACATTTTCATTCAGATTCTTTTAAACGAAACAAGCGAAACGAGTCGATCTATTTACCTTCTTCACTTTTATTTCGCTGTTAACTCTATGAATTTCTTTTTTTTTTTTTTTTTTTTTCTTTACGTACATTTCTGGGAGGTTGCTCGTTTCGAAATGATTATCAGAATGTTAATTTTACTTTGTTCAAGTTCGATATGTTAAACTCTTATTAACGTCGCGAAAAAGATCGTAAAAGTGCTCGTAAAGGTACATGAACGTTTGAATTTGCAGAATTTTCGCAGGCGTAAAGACATCTTTGAAGAAGACTATTTCTCATCTTCAGATAGTGTGAAAGTATTATTACATTGAAAATGGAAAATGATACAGGAAAACTTGAAAATATGAGAAAAGTATTTTTGAAAAAAGTAAGGAAGATAAAACCAGAGATGAATCATTGAAAACGTTTGGATGCAAGCCATTTGTCACTGACCAGCCATAAGATAAAATCCAGACTGCAACGAACCAACTAGCGCCACTCTCGCCTTGGACACCGCGAAAGCCTCGGATATATCGTTGAGAAAGACGCCAAAGCTGAAGATGATGCCGTCCACGAACAGGTTGCACATGAAGGAAGCAGCGACGATCACCCAACCCCATCCACCATCTGGCGGCACCACCATCTCCACCTCGATGTTCTGTCAAACAATGAAATTCAGATGACTTTCGCATGAAAATGTACATACTTTGGACACAGAAAAAGGAAAAGAAAAGGACTCAATGCAAAAATTATCACGTAACAGTTTATTAACGATGGAAATTATCAAAATTCAAAACAAATATATCTGGATCTAGAGCGAAGCTCTTATTATGTAATAAAATATGGGGCGTCTATTAAAGGGCGATTCTATATTTCTTACATACGTCGAAAATCAAACTTTCGTAAATTATACGAATAATCTGGTACTAATAACAATTAGTAACCTAACCTTGTATTAATAACAGTACACTCTCAATTGCATTAATAAAAACAACATATCAACGTGTAAAAGGTTAGATTAGGAACCTATTAGTATTATTCCAAAGAATATATTCTGAATTGCATCAATGAAACTGATACATGGCCAGTGGACAGTCAGGGTATTTCAACTCTTTAATATCTTGAAATACTTTTCGTCTCGAAATGGCCAGAGTCGAAGCAACAATCTTGTCTCAAAAGTTCCAAAATTAAAAGAAGAAAAGATTTGACTGACTGTTATGTTGGAAATTCTGAAGATCAAGAACAAGACCGAAAGAAACGATCGAGGTGCTCACGTTTGAGATCAAGGTTGAAAGAAACGTTCGAAACGTTCGAAACTGGCCGAGTTGGCGACTTTCGCTGAACCAAAAACCCTGACACGTTATCGAACCGACCGAGGCATGTGACGCTGATACCGAGATTCACTCGAACGGCTCGATGTACGAATTATTGCGGCGAGTATTTTTAGTCCCGTGCAACGATATCGGCGACGATTGTTGCTAATCTCGTTTCGTGGAACATTGGTCCGTAAGTTTCGCAAGTTTCACCGCTGTCCGCGAGGATCTCGTTGGGGCTCAGCTTTCTTGCCAACGCGAGTTTCTTGATTTTTAATTCGACGCTAGAACTCAATCGACGACTCGTATCGTTAAGATAAATCAGAATGCAAGGAATGAGAAAATGTTCACGATACAATAAAGAAGATGAAAGTCCGCGTTCAAGCAAGATACTCACTTCGAGTCTGACACAATCATCGATCGTCATCGTTGAAAACTTTCTAGCCGATGAAATTCATTTCACTCTAGTCGTTCCAAAATTCAACGTGGCATTTGCTCTCGAAGGTTGTACTTTACCATTTTCCTTACGATGAAGCACCAATAAATTCATCGATCGTTAATAGTTCAGAAAATTGGCCACGCGTGATTCACCTCGCAATTACAATCACAATATATACTACGAAAGTGTAGTACTATACTATAAATTAGTACTCTTCGGAATAGTCTTGCAAAAGAATTGTCAGAGTGGTCGAAATGACCAATTTATAATTTCTTTAGAGTAGTCATGCAGCAACATCGATCGATCCCCTTCCCTTCATTTTATTTACTATCGGATGGTAGAACGCGATGGAGATACAGTTCTGGTCGTTGCTCGAGTCTCTCACCTCGTTATTGTTATCCAGAATGTCTTCCAGCTGCAGTTCCTCGTTCCTGCAACCGCCCCCATTCTGCTGCGGCGCTTTGACGACTTGCTCGTCCACTTTGCTCCCCAGCGACGCCATCGTCGTCCACGGTTCGCTAAAACAGAACACGCAGCTTGCAAACACCTTGGGAACACCTTGATGGATCGTAAAAGCAAGGGGGAGAGGAGGGGAAAGTCAGAAAGAGAAGAAAAAAGAGAAAGAGAGAAGTACGGTGTTGCAATTTGTATATCGTTCGTTTATTACAGCGAGCGATTTAATTAGGTATTCGTTTGCATTCGTGCTAAATCCGTGCACCGACACGTCATGCACGTCGCGCGCGCTCTGTGTTCAACAACATAAATACGCGTAATATTATCATACGTCTATAAATTGTCCACGTGCACGCGGTGCCGCGAGGAAACTTTTTTCGTCCCTTCCCGCCTCGACCAATTAATTTCATTCCACTGAATGAATGAACGAGAACCTATCGCAAGAATGCGAAAGATGAACAGGATGTGTGAAACAGGGAGTAGAAAATCGCAAGATCTAAGTTAGAGATTTTCTTATTACTTTCGAACTTTCGAATTATTTATAAAAAAAAGACAAGCGTTGCAGCGACTTTCGTCGTGAAAATCTTGTTCGTCATTGATCTTCGTAATTTGACTCGTAAAGAGGAATCATTGATCTTTTGAGATTCACAATATTTTGTAAATACGTACGTTTCAACATTAATTCACGGCTTTGTTCACATAAGTTTGTCGTTTATCTACGAGAGAACTAAAATACAGTTTAGTCCATCAATTTGCATACATTCATCTTATCTGACGACTTTGAAGGAAAACAACTCGGTAATTTTTCCAGCATCTACAGGTGCTTTAATTATTATCAATACTATATAAATATTGTTAGTATTGATCAGATGATGTTAATCGTTTGGTAAATAAAATTTGGTCAGATTTCATAAACAAGCTGTCAAAGAAAATTCCCGATCCAGAGAATAGATAGATCACTTCTTCATATCATCAGATACTAATATTTTATCATCGTACAACTGCCAGGACAAAGGATTCGAATTTTCTGACAGGTTCTAACATTCGAAGTTCACTATTTGTAATATTCGAAATTCTAGTACTTTCAATCGCTTCTCTCGTAAGACGTAATACCTTCCCTAACTTGGGTCACTTTCGTAGCAAGCTCCGTTCACTTTCGTGGAACGATGATCGCGAGCACACAAAATCCACCACGAAATCTAAGTCAGGATCGGTCAGGATCGGTCGCGAGACAGATAGAGGTTCACGACGGTTCACGACGCGCAACAACTTGAATCGTCAACTGGATGTGTGCTACTGTGAGGCAGCCCGCGTGAATCATAGATATTATAACCGAGTGTGTTTCATGGCATAGAATGTGCCGTGAACGTGGCGATGCGAGTCAACAGTGGGCCGATATCAGGAAGAAAGCGACGTTTTGATAAACGGCCCGACCAGTGGGCCAGAATCTCGAAGAAAACAACGCTGTAATCCACGATGAAGGGGGCAAGGGGACCTCTGTCCTTCGCCGTTTCATCGGGCGTACAGCTCCGAGTTCGACGCGATTAGGGTTCGTATGAGGTAGGTCGAGGGCGATGCGATAAGCTCATTCAACGAAACTCATTACGCGAAGAATTATCGAGAGAGGAGAACTTTATCACTGCACGATTTCGCGAAACCAGACGGGGACCAAATCACGATGAAGTGGTGATCATAATGTCCGCCTTTATACAGTTTCGTATTCTTGATGGTCAAGATCTCTTTGGATGGAAATCTTTTGAGATCTTGTCTCGTCAGTGCTTTTACTCTTTGCTAAAAGATTCAATCGTTTCAAAAAATTTATTAATCTCTCCGAGACATTGGTGCCATACCTGATACCTTCTCATTCAAAGTGTCTAAAAATCTTACTCGTGATAGAGTTTCTCAAATCTTTCTCCAGAGAGATCTCTGATTTCTACCTACAATAGATTCTCACTTCCATGTACAACCGATTCTACTAATAAGTAGAAAGATCCGAGTACTTCAATTGTTGACCGCGGTGCTCAACTCGATTAAGAATGAACTGAAGTTGACGTGGTCGCACACGCACGAAGTACAACTTCGTTGAATCGAACAACTCGACCGTGTCGATTCCAAATCGAGGGCTGACTGTTCACGTGCCGATTGTTCGGTATGTTCGGCCGATCTCCAACCGAGAATGAACCTCCGTCATGTTTGGAACGTTTTTCACCGTATCACGTGCTTTGTAGTTTTCTAAATCTTCAAGCTTCAAATAGAAACTGATGCTGATTTACAGCGAATGATGGTGCAAGCCACTTTTTGTATGAAAGGAAGTCTTTTGTGTGTGAAACACATTTCCATCAGAAATGAGTTCGAACATACTTTCCAGCGAATGGCACAGTTTAATTGTACGGTGATAATTATATTACAATTATGTAATTACGTTACATTACATATTATAGAGTAGTCGAATGGAAATTAATGCAGTTTAATTGTATACTAGTAACTATATTACAATTGTATAATTATAATTGTAATTATGTTACATATTGTATAATTATTACAGAGTAGTCGAATGAGAATTAACATCTTGAATATCTTTGTTGTTTTTGGAGATATGAAAAGAATTTTATTAACGAAATGGGGGCTCA